TTAGCTTCTATCAACTGTTTCCTAACCACTTCAAACATTTCCTGTTCAGACTGTTTTACTGCTAACCGTTATTCAGTCTATTTAGTGTTCGCTTTTAAACTGAATTTTTTTTCTTTTCTGTTTATAAAGTACGTAGTTTCTTGTTTAATCAGGTGAAACCAAGTTTTACTTCTTTCAGTGTTGTGTGTTTTCGTAATTTTCCTGTCTTAATTTTCTCCAATAAATGATACAGAAAAAAGTAGCTTGCTTTACTTCCAACTATTTGCTTTTCTTGTTTTGGAGAAGAATGAATAAAATTGGATTAATAACTTAGATTATTTTGTTTTTTTATGTAAAATACTTCAATTTAGGGTCATTCATTACAGCAGGAATGTGAAGTCTGGCCACTAAATCGTTAATTTTACCTCGTTCTCGTTCGTCGTCTTCGTCAAAATCTGTTTCATTATCATCTTCGTCACCGAAATCATTATATGCAACGTCACTTCCGCTGTGATCGCCACCTGTGTGATTCGGTCCTGTGATTCCGAGTCTGCTGCTGTTCTGGGATAGGTTTAGGACCGGACTGTGCCCATTTGTGGCGGCACCTGTTTAGAATGAAATGAAACAAACGCTAAAGTAGTGTGAGACTGCGCGAAACTGTTAGACTCGAGGGGGCGGGGGAGGTTGTAATTTTAATTACTAACTAGTTAAGAAGAAAGACGGGATTAATGCATAATTTATTATTTAAATTCAATATCTTATTATCTACCTTTAACCTCCACCCCACCCAAAATGCAACTGTAATGTTAACAACATCTTCCGTAAAAAGTCGGACGGAAAGCTGACTGGGCTGCGGAGTGCAACGTCTAAAGTTTGAGTCTGCAATATTTCGCTGAACACGCTCCGCACATTCAGCTGTAAGTGCGTTATAAAACTGATAGTCAATCCCGTTATTCGGTTCAGATTATCGTGCAAGCGGCGGGTGCTTGTAATTGTTTACCCTCACTCTGATAAACAGTTCTAAACTAGGGACGGCTATGCCTGAACCTTAGAGCCTCGGGCCTAGCCGTGTAGCCCATGTGCAACATAAGACGGCGTTTAGGCGGAAAATACCTGATATCTAAACTGAAACAAGCCCTGATCTTTAAGCCCGCCCGGGCAAACATACAAATGTTAATAGAGCCAAATAAGATTAGGGTAATTATTTTTATTTGAAAACAATGAGTGTATTGCTATCACAAAGACCGTCGAACACTTGTTATAAATACGCCTTTTTCTTAACTTGGTAATTCCAAATGGAACTTCATTATAGTCCATAACACCTGGGGCCTATGTAGAGGTGTTCCTCTTCTCTTAGCAGATACATGGGGGCCTTGTTTGGTGTGGATTACACACCTGGGGCCTGTGTAGAAGTGTTCCTCTTCTCTTAGCAGATACATGGGGCCTTGTTTGGTGTGGATTACACACCTGGGGCCTGTGTAGAGGTGTTCCTCTTCTCTTAGCAGATACATGGGGCCTTTTTTGGTGTGTATTACTTTTCACTATTCTACATTTCATTACATTCGCAGTGTTTTGTAAAACGGCTTCTATGAATTGAAAAGGATATCGTGTTCTATACGTCCATAGATATATTGATGCAATATTGTTGCTGCAGTACCAAGAGCTGATATCACGATGTCATCACGAGAATTTTGTTGTTTAACGTGAGCTGATATGTTTAATAGCTCATTTTCAAAACATTCTCAATGTTAATAACAAAGTTTTCAGATACCGACTTGCCACTAGAAAGTGTCAGGATTCACAAGATAGGTTGCTGTTGTTGTTGTTGTTTTCATCATTATAGTTAATTTTTGAAAAATCAAATAACATTACGCTTAATATGGAATGCATTTAAGGAAGGGTTACATTAGTTCCACTTACAAATCATTGTTGCGAGAACCTGATCAAGCTTGGTAATAAAAGTACAGTGACAATAGGTAAGTCATAACAACCGTAAATACATGTTAGGTTGATTTGACAAATACAATGTATGTATTGAATGATTTGCTTAAAAAGCTCCCGGACGTTAGGTGCAGAAAAAAAAATCTATATTCAACGTATAGAATGAATTATGTAAAAAGCTTCCTTTGCAGGACGCTAGGTGCATAAAAAAAAGATTTTCTTTATTCAACGTATAGAATGAATTACATAGAAAGCTTCCTTTGCAGGACGCTAGGTGTATAAACAAAAAGATTTTCTTTATTCAACGTATAGAATGAATTACATAGAAAGCTTCCTTTGCAGGACGCTAGGTGCATAAAAAAAAGATTTTCTTTATTCAACGTATAGAATGAATTACATAGAAAGCTTCCTTTGCAGGACGCTAGGTGTATAAACAAAAAGATTTTCTTTGGTAATTCAACCTCAAGAACATGATCTTCATCACTGTTAAAAAACAATTAACAACAAAGAGTTTATGTTTTCAATAACCTGCTTATGTGGATTCTTCATTATTGTCGTGACGTCATAGTTTGGCTTAAGCAGCTAGAATTCAAAAGGTCCATTTTTCATATTGTGACGTCACATTATACACTACCATTCAATTAGGTTGCGTTTATTATCTCATGGCGTAACATCTCAACCTGTAATTATTAAATAAGTTTTTTTTTTTTAATTTCTGACATTATAAGCTTACCATTTAAGTATGTTGTTTCTTTTATCCTTTGACTTTCGAAATTGTAATGTTTTTCCTTGCCTCCGACTGCATCAGAACGCTCGTCTCGAATTCTGAAACATTAAACAATTCAACTTGTACATTTTTTTATATTACTAATGGAGTACTAAGACACAATTGTAAATGTTCTATTATTAACCAATTAATATTATGAAACAATCTGGAAACTACCTATACAAAAAATTTTTTCCAGAAGAAAATACATAATAAATAAACTTAGTATACCGAAAATTGTTTAATCTCGAAGTCTAAGTTCAAGGGAGGTCCATTTCAATCTACACTTTGATCAACGTGTGTTATTGGGTTATACTAGTTTCAGAGTATAACCCAATATCACACGTTGATCAACGTGTGTTATTGGGTTATACTAGTTTCAGAGTATAACCCAATAATCACGCGTTGATCAACATGTGTTATTGGGTTATACTCTGAAACTAGTATAACCCAAT